CACCTCCGGTGTTTTTGAATGACCTATCCACCGAAACCCCACACGATGGAATAGACAGGTAAAAAAATCATCCTTCAGTTACCTGTATGGGGGGGGGGATACCTAAAAATGTTTTTTCATATTTTATTTCAGTTTTGTAAGCTTGATTAATATATCTATAACTTGAACGAATTAACCACATGGTTAATTAACCAACATGGTTAATTCGTTCAAAATCTATAACTATGACAAATTACAGTTTTGTAGCACCTAGGGTCTGAGTAAAACCGCTGACAGACGGACATGACGAAACTATAAGGGTTCCTTGTTGTGTAACTACGGAACCCCCAAAATGAATGACGCTAACGTTTCAGTACATATAACATTCACGAGACTGAAGAGTAACGTGTTGTGTGTAGAAAGATAAAACGTGCTAACTCTGCGGCCCAGCTGGTCGGTTGGCCGATTTGAGATTATTTTGCATCACAAGGATTACTATTCATCATCATCATCTCTTGGCCGGAGATCCCCAGTGCAAGCTCCATCCACTAGACCGCATCCAGGGCATGTCGGCTCAAATCGTTGACGGTAGAGTTCTTTTTCATTGGCTGAACTCACTGGCGCTGCGAAGAGATGTTGCATCCTTTTCCTTTTGCCTATTCTATCGCATCCACCACAGTAGTGCTTAGAGAAATTGTTTAGAGTAATCCACCGCCGCACAACGCGATAAAACTCGCGATATCATATGACACCATCTGGATAATCGGCGGGCCACCACAGTGCGGTTTCACAAGAACTTTTGTTACGTGGTAGAGCCATGCTGCAGTTATATTAGTAGTATAGTTGTAGCACGAATGGGTCTGCTCGACCGGGGAGGGACCACGCTCTCACAGAATACCAGCGTGAAATAGTAGCTTAATGCTGCTGTATTTCGTATGGTGAGTGTAGAGAACCGGAGACCCTTTTTACTGGAAACGAGGCATTCCATCTCAGTCCTCACGGGTGACAACGCATCTGCATTTTGATTTTTAATGGAGGATAGATGTAGATGTCTCTAGGCCGCAGCAACCACTTACCATCAGGTGGACTGCGTGCTCGTTTGTCACCCTATTCTAAAAAAAAAAAAAAAAGAACTTTTCTCCCACGCACAACGTTCATGTAAAATCGGTTAACATCAGTAATTTTTCCGGACAGATACAACTTAGGGAACTTCAAGAGCTACCCCTTTTTTTGTTTGGTTTCAACTGTTAGATATATGTATAATCATGTAATTGGAAATTCATAATTTAATCTTTGTACTTCAACACTTTCACTGTCCTCTATATGCGACAGCGAATGAGTTAATATACGAGTACCTACAAAGATTTTTTCGAGTTTCTTATTTTACGAGAACATTTGCTCCGGCGTCAGTGGAGAGTTGCATACCCTGATGTATTTTTCGAAAAAAGAAAACAGTAAGAAATATAAATTGATGGTTATAAAATAAAAAATCAAGGGTATTATTAACAGCTGTAGAGAAATGATCACTTCGCAAGTTGGCACGGCTGACAGTTAGTGGGACCTTGGCGAACTACTGGAAATATGTGGCCGCGAAAACTACTTATTGGTTATACCAAACATCTACGCAACATTTTGCATTTAATGTTTAGGGCCTGGCCAAATTGGGTCCAAACCTAATAAAAAGAGTAGCGTAACTCGCTAGTATTCGCACTGGTAATATTCCTTCCTATTTTCCCTTGACTTAGCCTTGGTAACGAAGGTGAGATTAGGAGATGCTGGCGTTTCTTATGCTGTTGCGTCCAGCGCTAGCTCCAGACGCGCCCTGGCGACATCCAGGCAGGCCCTTTGCACGTAATTTAACGAGAGACGCCCATACTGGGCGCCGTTTCATGGTGAGGCCATGTGCACATTTTTATCGAGGCACGCCACACACCTCTTGGCAAGATGCTGACTGACTGCGCTGACGTATCAGTTTTGTCACATAACTGTTACGTCAGCGGGCGATGGGGTCGTCACTTCCCTGCACCGAGTATTATTATTATTAATTGATTTAAATTGCTTAGTTGTATAATGTAATTTTATTATTTTCTCTTCCCATCACAACCCGTCAACTCTCATCCAGAGTGGACATGCCATACCCACTCATCGGACTCTCTCGTGGCACCTTGAGTCTACCCTTAATCTCGGGCCAACCTTGAGGACTTACAGTATTATTGTCAAGTGAAATATGATTTTTGATGGTTGTCTATAATTGCAAATTACTGTTGAAGTAATAATTGTAGTATTGTTTTTTTTTCTTACTTCTACATATTAGAATAAATCTGGGGGAGACTTGTGACTGCAATTTTAATATTTTTTGGATAAAGTATTAAGATTAGGGCTAGGAGAGTAGTACCAGGTGATAGTCAATACTCAAGCCAAATCAGTGACAGAATTTTTGTCTCTGTCTGTGCGGCTCATGATTCACGTGAAAATTAATGCACGGACATCAATTTTCTCTGAGCGTTGGTTAGAAAATTTTAATGTAGGTTGTCAACGCTAAGGATAACATATTCTACTCGTAGATATAGGTTATTTTTAATCAGACTTTAGCAGTCGAAACAAGTATGATTATTTCCGAAAATCGTTCAATAGTAGATAAAACAAATAAAAAATATTTTGTGACTACTAGCTTGGGTACATTTGCGATTGGGAGTAGTGCTGTAGACCGATGTAGTATGTGAAGATTATTTTTTTCTCTCATTCTCTCATTATTAAGTTAAGAGCCACGTTCGGCGACTACTTATACTTCTGGGATGAATGTGGATTATCAACCTACATAATTTTAGTTTATACGGAACCTTTAGGGCCGTGATTCCTACTCGCACTTGTCTGGTATTTTTTATTTTTAAGATACTCAGATTGTAAAGGTATCTGGCGTATTCGAGGCAAAAAAAGTTGATGATTACAAAATAAATACTACTTTTCTGTCTAAGATTGGAACGTTCCGTCTGGGAACAATTTCTGCCACCGAACTGCATAGTACTTGTACTGCGGTATTTTGGTCTGCAGGGTATAGAAAGTAAAGGTAAGTACAGAGCTGTGGAGCATTACAATTGATCTTAACCATTTTGTTTTTCATCCGTCAATTTGTGACCCGCTAGAGCTCAGCTTACCGCTTTAGTTCTGGCCTCATTTTGTCTAGCCCGCACGTTGGAGGTGCGCGCACTGTGCCCACGTCATGAGTAAAAATATCCGAGGCGCCCGCCCCCGCGTCTCTATACAATATTATACAACGCCACTCTTCTACGATTATTATCTACCTGTAACGCAAATTCGAGGCAAAAAAAGTTGATGATTACAAAATAAATACTACTTTTCTGTCTAAGATTGGAACGTTCCGTCTGGGAACAATTTCTGCCACCGAACTGCATAGTACCTGTACTGCGGTATTTTGGTCTGTAGGGTATAGAAAGTAAAGGTAAGTACAGAGCTGTGGAGCATTACAATTGATCTTAACCATTTTGTTTTTCATCCGTCAATTTGTGACCCGCTAGAGCTCAGCTTACCGCTTTAGTTCTGGCCTCATTTTGTCTAGCCCGCACGTTGGAGGTGCGCGCACTGTGCCCACGTCATGAGTAAAAATATCCGAGGCGCCCGCCCCCGCGTCTCTATACAATATTATACAACGCCACTCTTCTACGATTATTATCTACCTGTAACGCAAATTGCACTTCCTATTTAAATAGACACACTTGAAATAAAACTAATAGACGAGCCAAGCCAGTGCAGAGCGATAGTAAAAACGGTAAAATTGGGTTACTGATAGTATCGAGCGTGATAAATATAACGGTGAAGGGTATATCAACGGGAGGGGAGCGGCACCCTTTCAATTCCCTTTCCATACATCACCCTCCCTTTTGTGAGCAAATATACTCAAAGGAACAAATGGATAGATTATTTTATGGAGAGCCATAGTCATAAAAAACAAAAACCTGCTGTGGGTATTAACCCTTTACCGCATACTGTGCCAAATTTGGAACGCTTTAATTTTTTCCTTGTAAAATGTTATCAACGCCATCTATCTATTCCGTTCTGCATCAACAAACAAAAGTAAGGTGTGCTTTAACTAAGCTACTATAAACAACCTCCATTCTAGTCTTTTGAAACGTTATTATCTCTGGACAAAACAGTTGAGGCCGCCATTTTGTAGGAGCCCGACGTTTCTCAGCTTCATACAGCGATAAGTGTTGTTGTTCTTGCAATAAAATTAAAAAACTGTGTGAGTGTTGCAGAAAAATGGATCCTCAGCGCTTTTATGGTAAAAAACGTAAGTATATTTTATAGTATCTTGTTTAATTAATCGGTCAAAGTTTGTTCCAAATTCGGAACAAAATGCAGCCAGGCGCTTTTTAACTGGCCAAATTTGGAACTTCATGCAATGTGTTCGTTAAACCCCCCTTGGTCATATTTGGAACATTATGCAGTGTAAGTTAATTATACTCGTCCTAGTTTTGATTATTTATATATGAACTCATCATCACTTCACTAAATATTATGAAACAAAGCCGTCGGCCACGTCTATCTGTCTGTCTGTTTACGAAAACTACTGCACGGATTTTCATGCGGTGGTCACAATAGATAGAGGGATTCTTGAGGAAAGTTTAGGTATAGAATACATCCCCGGGCACGTCCGGGACGGGTTGCTAACTATATCTTAACCTAGAACTCAAACCTGGATGGCGAGGGCTAAATCCAGCCAGTCCCATCGAATTGACCAGTCTTTTTAGGGTTCCGTAGTATACGTCAAGGAACCCTTATAGTTTCGTCATGTCCGTCCGTCCGTCTGTCCGTCTTCGCTCTACCGTCCAAACTGTTAGCGCTAGAAAGATGAAACTTTGCATGGATATGTGTATTTACTACGCCGACAAAGTGCTAAAATAAAATTATGAAAAATGTTTTTTTCTGGGGTACCTCCCCTACACGTACTTAATGTGGGGATGATTTTTTTTCTGAAATGAATGTATAATATTTTTTCACAGGTCCTGCATTTTCCATCCCAGAGAGTAGTGAAGATGAGAAGGCATCGGATGATGAAACTTATAGAAACCCAGGTCCTGAGATTTTCATTCCAGAGAGCAGTGACGATGAAATCGCTTCAGATGATGATCGTGGAAATGTAGGTGAATTTGAAGAAATTTATTTAGATGACGACGCTCTTGATAATGATTGCGACGAATATATTCCTTATGAAACGGAAGAAGAAGATATCTCAAGCAAGCCTTCTACGTCAAAACAGCGCACAGAAAATAAGAGAAAGAAGGTTAAATGTGTATGGTCTGATGAAAGTATGGCGTATGACGAGTCACATATTGCGTTTTTAGGATGCCAAGATCTCCCAAATGAAATTATGAAACTCGAAGCGCCCATGGATTTCTTTAAATTTTTATTTCCTTCTTCAGCGATTAATTTAATTGTAAGGGAGAGCAACTTATATGCTGATCAAATCACCGAAAGCAACCACAATGAAGTCACGGAAGAAGACATACGTAAATTTTTAGGCATAATAATTTATATGTCTGTGGTGCATCTTCCAACAACACGTCATTATTGGAAGGAAGGTACATACATTGAAAAGGTGGCTTCAGCAATGACTTGTAACAAGTTTGAAGAAGTAAAAAGGTTTTTACATTTTTTTAACAAAAATGATGAGTTGGAGTCCGGTGATCCAAATTTTGACCGGTTACAAAAGATACGCCCTTTCCTTAACATATTGCGTGAAAGACTGTTACAAGTGCCTAAAGAAGAATACTTGGCAATTGATGAACAAATGATTCCTACCAAAGCACGTACTTCTGGTATGAGGCGTTATAATGCCAAAAAACCACACAAATGGGGCTACCTCAATTATGTGCTAAGCGGAGCCAGTGGCTTTAGCTACGATTTTGAGGTTGATACTGGAAAACACCCTGATCCGCCAGAGAACTGCCCTGACCTCGGAATACCAGGAAACATTGTCCAGCGTTTGTTAAACACTGTTCCTCAAAATCTTAATTATAAAATTTTTGTGGACAATTGGTACACTAGTTTGCCTTTGATGGCCAACTTGCATAAAAAAGGACTCCTTCCTTTAGGAACAATTCAGCTCAATAGAGCACCCAATATAAATATAGAAAAAAAAACTATTATGAAAGAAGAAAGAGGATATTGTGCGGAAAAATCTACCATTTATGAGGATGTCAAATTAACCGTTACTACTTGGGTAGACAATAAACCTGTTAGCCTGTGTTCTTCATACGTAGGCAAAGAACCCATGGCAATGGTGAAAAGATTTTTAAAGAAAAAAAGGGCCAAAATTGATATCCCTTGCCCAAAGGCTATTACAATTTATAATAAATATATGGGCGGCGTAGACTTATTAGATTCTATGCTAGGTTTTTATAGGATTAAAATTCGAAGCAAAAAGTGGCATCACAGATTGTTCTTCCATTTTATAGACCTAGTCTGTGTAAATAGTTGGTTATTGTGGAGACGTAGAACCAAACAAAAAGGTGAAGACATGTACATACCCTTGCTGGATTTTAAATTAATGGTGGCAGAAATTCTGATGCAAGAAGATGCCAGAGTTTTTACACCAACTCGCAGAGGACGACCGCTAAATGCAAATATAGAAAATATTAAAAAAGACAAAAAACGACGCCGCATTGAATTGCCTCCTGTTGAAGTAGCCGAAGATGGCTTTAATCACTGGCCGGAGTGGAAGACTGACCGACAAAGGTGTAAGATGGTCGGCTGTGGTCAAAAAAACCCAAGTAATGTGTACTAAGTGCAAATGTTATTTATGCTTGAATAAGGACCGCAACTGTTTTAAAAAATTTCACATGTCGCATGATTGAATAAATAAATTAAAATTCATAAATGTTTGCTTTCGCATAGGTTTTTTTGTATTATTTTTAATAAACTAATTTCTTAAATGTATGAAAATAAAAATATTAAGTAAATATATTTTTATGTAGTTTTAATTAATTGAAGTAACTTAATTTAAAAAATTGATTAAATATAAATAATTTAATTATAAAATCTATATGTATAATAATACCTATATAAAAACTTCACAATTTTTAGTAATCATATTTTTGACATTTTTCTAATAAAATAAATTTGCAATTATATTGATACGACGTCACATAAGTATTTAATTTCTTAAAATATGTTTTTATTTAGACATAAATTTGAAATTATGACCTTAAAAAAAACATGCTTATCCAAAAGTAGAACACACTGCATGATGTTCCAAATATGGAACACGTACAATTATAAGCTTGAATGCATATCGTTCCAAATTTGGAACCAAAACTTTGGATATTTTTTTTGTAATGAATAATACCTCGATTTTTTTTTTAAATATTTTTATATCAACAGGTATAAGGTATAGAACTAAATATTTTTTTTAAGTTGATTTAAAAATTCCATGCGGTAAAGGGTTAATATCATGCTGTATGAAGCCTACCGAACTGTTATTTTTATTTTATTAATTTATTTTATAATATACCTAAGTACCTATTATTATACGGTAACCTAATCCTATACTATACATATTGGCATTAAGCTATATAGTTACACTTACTGTGATAACTTAAATCTACAAAAGGTCTTATCATTGGTATATATGTGGTAAGAAAAATTGTAAGTATACAATTAAAAAAAAATACTGCAGACACCGACATTGCACAAATTTTTCACCGTTGGACGACTCGAGCCTTTTACAAATTTAAAATATTGAGTGCGAATAAAAATTACCGTTACAGCACAGACCGTTTCATAAACATTAACCTAATTTAGTAATACCTAGACAAGATGGCCGTTGAACCGCGCCGCGCTATTTCCTATTTTAGAACTCTACACAATCTACTTTTTTAATGATTAACCCTAGGTTAAAATTTTACAATTGTTTTGATACAAATAACGAATAAACTGTGTTTTAAATTAATGTTATTAAATTTACGATTTTCTAATAGTCATTATATATATATATATATATATATATATATATATATATATATATATATATATATAAATATAAATATATATATATATATATATATATATATATATATATATATATATATATATATAGGGTCACCTGTCCAACATTGAGCCAGTAGTACACAAACAATGCTATATTTCAAAAATGCGAAGTTGCCAGATAGTGCACAGTACATGTAAAGACGCGGCCCCAAGTCCCCTCCCACCGCCCCAGTTCGCGACTGCGGCGCGTGCGAAGCAGACGCGTGGCCGTCATTATACGGATTTTACGCAAAAAAAGTAAGATTTTTTAATAATATTTGTCGATTTTTCATTATTATGTGTTAAAGTTTGCTTTTTTTCTTAATATTGCTTGACATTGTACATGTATTACAGATTTCAGTTACGTACAAAACATACTTGATTGTTTTTATTTTACATTTTTATTTCAAGGTTTTAGAAATATGTCACATATAGTACACAATGAAACGAAACCCCGTTGTACACAATGAGCCATGTTTCATTGTGTACGAATCGTGTTTCATTGTTTGCCATGTGGCTCATTGCTAGTGTTTATGTTTTTTATTATATCTACACAAATAACCTACTAACATTTTTTCTTTTGTTATACGTTTTCTTTTAGTTAAATATTTACTGACGCATTGTAATTTTTACTTTTTGTTTTAGATGGCGCGCACTAAAGTTAATAAAAGAAAGAAAGGTAACCACACTGCTGATAACGTGCTTCAGGCTATCAGACATTATAGGCAAGGATGGAGTATCAGAAAAGCAGCTAAAGAGTATAATGTATGCTATCCAACACTGCAACGTTACATTAAAAAAAATGTAAATGTTAGTACTGCGGATTTACACAAGCAGCGATTGACACCCAATTATGATGTCAACAAAATATTTACTAATGAACAAGAAAAATCACTGACAGAATATATCAAAGAATGTGCGTTAAAATTTTATGGGTTAGGTATCCACTAAAGACGTTCGAAGCCTTGCTTATCAAATGGCAACTATAAATATTATTAAAACTCCTGATAGTTGGAATCGTGAAAAAATGGCAGGCCTTGAATGGCTTCGGTCATATAGATCAAGGAATCTGGATTTATCCTTGAAAAAACCAGAATCCTGCAGCCTTGCTCGTGCCACCGCTTTTAACAAAGACACAGTTAAGATGTTTTTTGATAACTTAAAGAACGTTATGGAACGCCACCCATCTTTTGGAAATGGCTGTAGAATCTACAATTTGGATGAAACTGCTACTACAACCGTTCAGAAGCCGCTAAAAGTTATAGCACCTAAAGGGCGCCAGAATATTTGTAAAATAACTAGTGGAGAGAAGGGTACATTAGTGACAACATGTGCTATTGTCTGTGCGTCTGGGCAAGCCTTACCTCCGGCGTTAGTTTTTCCAAGGAAGAACTTAAAGGATTATATGATGACTGGCGCCCCTATTGGATCCCTCGGACTTGCTAATCCAAGTGGGTGGATGAACGCAGAGTTGTTTATTGAAGTAATGAAGCATTTTATAAAACATACCTCTGCAAGTTCATAAAATCCAGCTTTATTAATCATGGACAATCACGAATCCCATTTAAGTATTGAAGCTTTGGACATGGCGAAACGTTCTGGAGTGACAATCCTTACATTACACCCCCACACAACAAGTAAAATGCAACCTCTTGACGTGGGCTTAATTGGTCCCTTCAAAGCCTATTATAATAGTGCCGTAGATTCATGGTTAATGAGAAATCCCGGAAAACAGATGACTATATACAATATAGCCGAGTGCGTAGGATACGCATATGCAAAATCAATGACGCCAGTTAATATAACCTCTGCTTTTAAAAAATGTGGTATTTTCCCGTTCGACGCAGACGTTTTTAGCGAAATTGACTTCATGCCATCTGCTGTTACTGATAGAGACCAACCGGAAACGTCATCTGCGAAATTAATGGCTGCACCTTCTGAACAATTAAACGACAGAAAGAATCTTGTTAGTCCATCATCAGATATTACCTGTGCTCATAGTCCAATACTGTTTGAGGAAAACCCTTCTGAAGATGTTGGAGGTAATAATACTGGAATCCGGAGTGCTGAAAGTCCATCTTTATTGGAATCTACTACTCCTGAACACATTATGGCTCTTTTTGAAGCACAAAATTCTCAAAGTCCATCTTCAATTATGCACGAAGTTCTGAAAGATACAGGCGACCGGACATTTAAATCACCTAAAGAATTTATGCTGTCCTTAAAAAGTGGACCACGAGCTGGACGTCGTAAGCCGAGAAAACTAGGAAAAAGCATGATTGCTACGGATACGCCAGAAAAGAATCAGATAGCTGAAGAACGAAAAAAAACACGAGACAAGAAGTCTGCGGCAAGTGCAATTAAACGACCTATACTGCAAGACAAAAATTTCGAAGAACCAAGGAAAAAGAAGAAAGCAAAGAAGGTTGTAATTCCATCAGATCCTGAAACAAGTGAAGAGGAAAATTTTGAGGTTATAGATTTGAGCGAGTCTGATATAAGTGGTAGAGAGGATGAAGATGAAGATCTTGATGCTGACAATTTACCTATGGTAAACGAAAACTTTCGAGAACTAGAAAGAAAGCCTAAATGTAATGATTACGTATTGGTATCATTCAATACTAAAAAAGATAAAAATATATTATGCTGCAGTAATAACAGAAGTTTTGAACTCTGAGACCTACGTGGCATCTTTTATGAGACTTAAAGTAAAAGAGAATATGAAATGTAAATACTACATGCCATTAGAACCGGATTTTGCTGAAGTGAATATTACAGATATAAAAATGATTCTACCGCTACCAAAAATAAATGGCACAAAAACCCGAAACTCTACTTATGTTTTCCCACTTCGCATGTCACCAAAGTTAAATTTGCGATAGTAATGTCATTGACTAGCTATGATGTTTATTCGTTACAGTTTTCTTTACTATAATAGTATTACTTATTATGAGACTGATTGTTATTATTTTTTGTTGTTTTTTTAGTGTTTGATAATATTTTTTTAACTATTACAATGTTTAAGTTTCTCTTACTTTAATAAAACTCACTCAAAATAAAAAAATGTTCTGTATTTTTTTTTAATATAACAAAAATAAACTAATAAAACGAAGGTTATAAATAAAAAGCACTGTTTTATTAATAAAATTACCAAATGTATTGCAAATAGTACAAAATAATAAGTACATTGGATCCTGGCTCATTGTTAAATATAGCTAGGCTCATTGTGTACTCACATAAGTACACAATGGATCATTTCCCATTTTTTAAAAAAACCTTAGTCATGATATATCTACAAATGTTTTAAGAAAAAAAAATAATGTTAATCTGTAGCCAATTAAATTTGCTATCTTCGCCTAAAAACTTACACCTAATATCTTAAGAAACAGCGAAGTTATTAAGTTTTAAAATTTAGGTGGCCCATTGTTGGACAGGTTACCCTATATATATATATTTCATCTTTGAATGATATATAATCGTAATGTGTATTAACAACCTGGTTACGAGTATTACTTTTATTGCTATACTGCATGTGCTAGGTGTATCTATACCTAGTAAAAATTTACTATTTATATGTATAGATTAAAAATTAGTTTAGTAGTAGTACACGTTATTAAATAGTGCTTAGAAATTAATCCAATACGTTATTAATCAAAAATTAATTGATTATTTTTCAGTTTCTTAAAAGGAGAATATAATGTAATTACATATAATAATAAAAATTACAAGTCGACTTCAAGAGGTAACAACTTAGGTTGTCGTCTAAATATTTAAAATTAAATCTTCGTCTTCAATATTTCTCCCTTTACGCACAGAATAATTAATAACAGTACTACGTACTTTAGGGATAGAATTTTCGCTTTGAATATACTTGGAACCACCCTGAAGTATAAAGTATTTAATAAAATTTAGCGGGGATGGGAGATATGATAATGATATACCTACGATGATATAGAACGACTAGTGAACACAGGAAATGGAGTAAATGGGGCTCTACACTCTATTGTAGAAAGTCAGAATGTGCCAAAAAAAGGCACATATGGCAATTCACAATGTTGTGTTAGTCGCTACTTTAACGTATGGTAGTGAAAGTTGGGTGTGGCAGAAGAAGCACGAGAGTAGAATAAACGCAGTAGAAATGCAGTCGTTAAGGAGTATGTTAGGGCTGATTTTGAGTGACAGGGTGAGAAATTGTGTGATAAGAGAAGAGTGTGGTGTGCAAGATGATGTTGTGATGAGGATTAAGAAAGTAATGCTTCGGTGGTTTGGTCATGTAGAAAGAATGAATGAGGAAAGAATGACAAAGCAAATTTATGTTGCAGAAGTGAACGGCAGAGTTGGTAGAAGCCCTAGGCGAAAGTTTGTCGACCAAATTGACGACACATATATTGAAAATATGTCAAATTAAGAGTACTCTTAACCGACGAGCATGTACCTATGCTTAGGTATATGGATGTAGAGGAGCTAGAGAGTCTCTGCCTATCCCTCTTGGTGACAGGCGTGTCCTTATGTATGTAAAAAAAGAAACAAATTAATCAGTTTAGCCGTTTCCAACGCTTCCAATAAATCGGTGAACATTAAGAACACAAAAAAACATACACTTCAAACCTCATTGTTTTTTAAATTCTCTTATAAACACAAAAACTTGTTAATTAGAACTGTGTTATCTTCAAAATACGTAGTATCGTGTAATTGTACGCCTTTTGACGTGTTAGGTATTATGCTTGCTTTATTGTTTTAACTTTATGCTGACATCGATTAACGTTCCGTTTCCGCATTGGTGTAAGGAACGTGCCAGCAAACCTGCGACCTTTCCTACGGCATTGTGTACACATTCTATATATTCGCAGTACATAAAATAACGGGCCTTTTCACGTGCGACGGACGGACACGGTTTGGCGCCGTGTCGTGGTCGTGCAATCGTACTTGATGAGGTAACACCTATATTCTATGTGTGTACTTTTTATAAAACATAACTAACACACACTAACGTACAGTTCAATTGATGGTAAATGGTCACTGCAGTTCAAGGATAACTGCAGCCAACTTCAAAAATAGAACGCTACGGATGTTTCATCGCCTCTGAGGACTAAGATAGATTAGTCTGTCATGAATATTGATACTGGCTTTCTATATCCATATAGGTGGAACCATGCTGCAGTTATATTATGGTTTTAGCACGAATGAGATCACGCTGTCATAGAATACCAGCTTAAACTAACAGCTTGATGCTGCTGTGTTTCTTTTACTCGAAACGAGGAGAAAATCATTTTAGCTCTCAGAGGTGACAACGCATCTGCATTTTTTTAAAAAAAGTATTCTTAATTGAGATTTTTAAGTACCTTAAGGCACTGTAGAACCCAAAAAAGGTGGGTTCCACCCAAAAAACTTGAAAAAGATGTAAATGTCTATGGTCCACAGCATGGTAAATCCATCAGGTGGACTGTGTGTTCCTTTGTCACCCTTATTCTATAAAAAAACTCTTAAGACAGGAACACAGAAGTGTACGCTCTGCTGTTTGGCGATAGTAACAAATATCAAAGTGGTCCAAGAGAGCTCAAAGTTTTCACGGATGCTCTAAGACAAATGAAGGTGTGGGGTCTAGGGCTTTCTCTGAAGACCTTAATATCAACATATGCACACCGCTGGGTACCCACAACACAGTCTTCCAGGCTGAATGCATGGGTATCATCCAAGCGGCCATAGCAATAGATGCTAGGAAGGTGAAAGACTTCTCCATCAGAATACTGACCGACAGTATGGCAGTACTACAAGCTCTGAGTTGCAATGTGACGAACTCGGGACTGATACACGAGTGCCATCAACGATTGAATGAGGTATGTAAGTACAACAATGTGACTCTGCAATGGATCAAGGGACACAGTGGATCTAGAGGCAACGATGCAGCAGATGAACTGCCGGAAGGGGATCGGCCCTAGCAACTGTAGGGCCGGAACTAATAATACCAATCCCCTTTGGCTACGTTCGTTCACTGGTACGTAGATACTTCAATAATTTACACGCTCAGCTTTGGAAAATTTTTGTAGACAGTAGACAAGCTAGGGAGGCCCTACCTGAAATAAACAGTCGTCTAACCAAGGTTCTAATGAGACTGAACAAGCCACAGATCAGGATAGTAACAAGTGCTATCACAGGACATGGCTCTTTTAACAAACATTTGTTCACCATAGGTGTTACTGACAGCCCCCTGTGCAGGGCATGGGAGAGGAAGAAACGGCGGCTCACGTGTTGCTGACATGTCCAGAAGTCGCTTCATACAGGGCTAAACATCTCGGCACGCCGGGATCGCTCCCCGAAGTTGCTTGCAACATCAAGGGACTGCTGAGCTTCTTCGGGGTGATATCATGGCTCGAATAAGCATATTATTCATGCCCACACGCAAAATACGCGCTTAGACGTGGAGTGGACTAAACTAAACTAAACTAAATCAAAGTGGTATTTACTCAGACGGACCAGGCTGAAAAGAAGTCCTTCTACCAGTAAAGTTGTATTCACAAGTATCAAGATTCACAAGTACGTCGGGACAGTTTATTGACAAGTTAGTATTTACAGGAATATCACATATATAGCTTGAATTTGTGATTGAAAGCAAAAAGTATTGTGCTAATATCTGTACATTATAGTACATAATGGTTACAGCCTATATGGGTCCCACTGCTGGCCACCGGGCTTCTCCCATTGCTAAAACCTAAGAGGGTTCTCCTACAGATCGAGTTGGCGAACTTCACATAACATTTTGATTCTTCAGACATGTTTATTTCCTTTTTGTATAACAAAGAATAAGGCACAAACGAGCACACAGTCCACCTGATGGTAAGTGGATGCTGTGGCCCATAGACATTTGTCCTTGATTAAGAATCAAAACGCAGATGCGTTGTTGATGTTTTCCTTCAGGAACTAGCACTTGGAAAAAAGCACTTGAAATTACAATTGACACATCATTTAACATATTTATATAACAATATTTCTACGTTGCAGGAGGCCGGCGGGTTACTTGAGCCCGTCTTGCTAGTGTACTCTCTGTGAAATTAGAAAGAAAGAAAGATATGTATTTATTTGGCAAACACAACATTGCAAATCGTTTATTTTATAAGTAAAATAAAAGTAGCAGTGTGATGTAAAAACATATTTGGACGAGTACCCAGGCCCAAGACCTGGGCTCTTTAGTATGAAGATGTTTTTATTATATTAATAAATGTGCGACTTGTCTATAAATGTAAACAAAATTGCAGCTTCTATCTGTTAAACAACTGCCTCTTATCGAACTCAGGGGGTTATTTGAATATCAGTAAGACATGAATCACATTAAGAAATGAGGGTAATCTTCGAAATGGCTGAACCGATTGTGATGAAACTTCATGGAGAGAGCAATGCCAGGAGTATCTAGGTTGGATCTAGACTGAAGAACATGGAGTTTTTTTTTATTGAAAATTGATAAAGAAATGGTCATTGAGGTTTCTTTTTAAAAATCTAATAATGTGGCTTACATTAGATTCCACCCGCACTCATGCAAAGTCAGGGCGCGTCGCTAGTGAGATAGTAAAATCATTTCATCTTTTGAGTTATTTTTCAAAGAGTAGCTAGATTAATTTCAATTTTAAACTTAAGTTCAAATATATAAAAAAAAAACGAGTTGCAAAATAACCCTGTATCCTA